ATGCACTACTTGTGAGGCTCTCTAAGTATTTATCACTCAAAGTGTTAAAATTCAAAAGGAGAGAATAAAAATGTCTAAAAAAACTGAAAAATAAAAAGCTATAGGATCCTCCTTTTACCTCTGATGTGCTGATCTTTGGTGGCTTCAAAAGGAAGCAAGAATAGATGAGACAAATCAGTATTATTTGCTAGAGTCTGCCTGACCCTTACAAAGGCGCAACATAAGAAAAGAAGGAGCCTCCACACTCTGCACAGCCAGTGTACAGGGCAAAGCAGAATTCCAGTCCCGACTCAAAGGAAAGCACAGGCTGCTCCCTCTCTGGGGATGCAAACACACCCCAAAAGGGTCAAGGAAGAGGCGGAGCCTTTGAGGGGAAAGGTTATGACCGTCCTACAAGATTCCGCAACTAATCGATCCAGGACCAAAAGATGTAGGTGCTGTCAGGATTGGGCCCCAGTACCTGTACCACTTTGGATACAGGTGAGTGTTATTTCAGCTTTACTTATTAGGGAAGTCCTCAGTGTACTTTATGGATCTAAAGGGAGAGCTGGGAGAGAAACATCTGTCACTCCTAGAGGCTACAGAATCTACTGAATTTACATTTACCTAATAGCTAACTGTTTTTAATTGGGAGTTTGTCTCTGAAGAAGAGAACAAAGGCAGAACTCCGTAAGGTGGGTGTTTGTGGATTCTTTGCTGACTTAGCTATGCTTATGGTGAAAAGACAGGAGCCCAGAGAAAGCCTTAGAAAAATATCAGTTTCCCTGAATTTAATATGCTGATCTCAATACCTGTACCAATTTGGATACAGGCTGCAGATTTCCTGTCTCACCAGAAGCCATAGAGACCAGACCACTATTAACCCAATGTCTGAAATGCTGCAAGCTGTAAGGAAGTCTAGACATTTGTTTGCTGACGTGGCTAAAATGTTTGCAAAAGCACTGAGGTGCCATGATTTTTTCCAGTTCTGACATATTACATTACACTATGCTATAGGGAGACTGAAAAAACATTTCTGAAAAAAAAAATCAGAAAATAAAGAATGTCTGTATGTGTGCGCACTAAAGAATAAAAATGTAAAATATTACACTGAAATTTTGCATTGTGATATGTCTAAGAGCAGCTAAATCTGGAACTCTATATAAGAAGAAACACTAGTAGGTTCACTACCTAATAGTTTTTGTTTGACGTTTAATGCTCATTGTAAATACTATTTAAAATTTTCCGTGTGTTAAATTTAAATGTTTCTTCACCCAAACTGTATGATACTCACTTTGAAGCTGACTGGAAGCTTGTTACTAACACCTACATTCAAGATTGTAATCCACAGAGTTAAAAGTCAGGCTCTTGTGTTCAAAAACGTGGGAGATTTCTGCATTATTTTTGTGATCATTATGTGTGATTTAGTTTACCTCCTACTTCGATACTGTGAACTACATGAATTGAATATATTAACGCCTGCCAGGAGCAGGAAGAGGGAGACTGATCTGGATTAACTCAATCATCCAGTACTTCATCCACCCTGCAGATAATAACTGTGAAGTACTGTCTCCAGTCCAGTACAACAGACATCCTTGACTTGGAAGAAAGAGGGGTGATCCTTGAGGTAGGAAAGCTTAAACAAAGGGATTTGATTTTGTTTAAAAAAATAAAAAAAAAGCAGTCCTGACTAACTACTAGAGGAGGGACTTTGGGAGACAGAGGTCGGAGCTGCTGGCATGTAGGCTTGCGCTCCCAACCCAAGGCTGAAGGATGTCTGGGTTAAGCAAAGCCTGCTTAACTACACAAGGAGACGTTAGAAAGTTAGGTAAGAGACAAGTGTAGGGCTTCTTCGTTGTATTAACCCATCTCTCTAACTGCTGTGTTCCTGCTGACAAAATATTTAGTTTTGAAAAGCCTGAACTGTGTCGCTGCATACATTTTCCGATTACAGAGCTCCCAAGAGAGAAGACTCCTGCAGAGAACCAAGTCAATCTGTGTGCTAATGTTCCTTTATTTAATGGCTACTATTGTAGTTTACATCAAGAAAAATAGTATGTCGTCTCAGATACACAATATAGCTGTTGGTAAAATATAACTTCTTACTAGTGGCCAACATAGCAATAGTATACACCAGAAATCCTGGAATGATCCCTGGCCCCAAGTTAACCTTTTATCCACTATCTCCCTTGTCTGTACATTTTGCCTGTATACCTCTTGAATTTTGCCAGAATTTATCCTGGGTTTTTCCTAGTATCCATATGCATTCTTTAATCACTTTCCATCTCAACTACTCCAATTCCTTCTCATATCATAGACTTAATCCTTCACATATACATTTCATTAAAATCAGAGAGTGAAGTTACGGCTATTCCCACACCTCAGAAAGGTTTCAGGGTGGTAGCCCTGTTAGTCTGCATCAGCAAAAAGAACGAGGAGTATTTGTGGCTAACAAATGTATTTGGGCATAAGCTTTCGTGGGCTAAACCCACTTCATCAGATGCATGGAGTGGAAAATACAGTAGGAAGATATATATAGTAGAAAATTAGCATAGGGAAATAGTTTTTAGTTTGTGTAATGACCCATCCACTCCCAGTCTTTATGCAAGCTTAATTTAATGGTGTCCAGTTTGCAAATGAATTCCAGTTCTACAGTTTCTTGTTGGAATCTGTTTTTGAAGATTTTTTGTTGAAGAATTGCGACTTTTAGGTCTGTAATTGAGTGTCCAGGGAGGCAGAAGTGTTTTCCGACTGGTTTTTGAATGTTATAATCAGGGCTTTGGAGCTGTGCTCCGGCTCCGCTCCAGCTCCAGTCAAAAACCTGCAGCTCCACTGCTCCAGAGTTGCTCCTTGCTCCGCTCCAAAGCCCTGGTTATAATTCTTGATGTCTGATGTGTGTCCATTTATTCTATTGCACAGAGACTTGACTGGGAGTGGATGTGTCATTACACAAACTAAAAACTATTTCCCCATGCTAATTTTTCCCCCTACTGTTACTCTCACCTTCTTGTCAACTGTTTGAAATGGGCCATCCTGATTATCACTGCAAAAGTTTTTTTCTCCTGCTGATAATAGCTCACCTTAATTGAGTTGTCTCATTAAAGTTGGTATGTGTATACACACACACAGTAGGAAAATATATATATTTTTTCCTACTGTATTTTCCACTCTGTGCATCTGATGAAGTGGGTTTTAGCCCACAAAAGCTTATGCCCAAATAAATGTGTTAGTCTAAGGTGTCACAAGTACTCCTCGTTCTTTTTACCTCAGAAAGGGGAATCCATATTAAGCACGATTCCCTTCCCTCTTCTCTGGCTTCCTCTCCACTTCCAATTCCAATTCAAAACTCCCCAGGGAGTTGGTTCTGTCCTATTTCTCCTCCAGTTTTGTCCTCTTTTCTTCTCCCCTCATTATGGCTTCCACATTTGGAGTTTACCACCAAAACTCTTCTCTGAGCAACCAAATCTCAACCTCTTCCAGTCTTGCCATAAAACTTTCCTTTTTGCTTTAACTTTTCATAGACTCTAAATCCTATTTATATTTCCCTCCTTCCTTCACTGAAAATAAATGCAACTTTAGTACTAAAGTTTAATCTTTATTATTTTTACTCTAATAGTTTTTCTGACTTTCAAACCTGTACAAAATTCACTGTACCCAACTCCATGAGCCATTTTTTCTTCTCTCTCTCTCTCTCTCTCTGTAAAGGGAACTATAAAAATAAATACTAATTACAAGTACTCTCATCCCTCTTCCTGCAAAACACAGCTTTACCTCCTACAAGAAGTTTGAATAATTGCAACTTGTACCATTTTACTTGCAACTTCCACTAGTAATTACTTCCTAATAGCACCTTTCTAAATGCATTTAAAATATTAGGCTCCCAAGGGGATAGTCTTAGAAAGAGGGGGCAAAGTACATCAGTCAACTGAAACATCAATTCCCAAAACAATCACTTAAGAATATTTTGGATTCTTTTTTAAAAGGCTAGTATTTCTGGTAGCATCTCAGATTATGTTGCTATGGTAAGAGAGTGTTCACTGTAGCCAGTGATACCAAAACCTGTAAGGTGACAGGGCCAAGGAATAAAAAAAAAAAAGTGTATTACCAGTACCCCAGTGTACCATGTGAAAAAAGGAGCCACCACTACCACTCCCAGCTTTTCCTGTCATAGTCCAAAAAGATTTTCCCCTAAAATGTTGAATGTGTTCCTATGGACAAGCTGACTGTAGGCATATGCAGACTATAACCATAACTGACACGGGAGCATTTTAACCTCTAAAAATGAGCACTGTCTGAGAAATCTGCTTTGATCCAGGACTGAAGCAAAGCCAGTTTATGATCAGCCACTGCAATCTGTTCAGTAACTAAGAGAACAGTCTTATCAGTCCCTCTAAAAACACAAACTGTACCAATCCTAAAAGTCTAAGAAAGTGATTAAATAAAAACTGTAGGGAATAATGACTTAACTCAGAGTCACAAAACAGATGTTACATTATTAAAAAACCACAAAGCTCATTTCTGCTTGTATTCCTACACAAAATCAACTGAGGTTAGATTTGCATCTACATTATATGAGAATAACACACCGCTATGCAGTTAGAGAATATTAATGGCCCAAAGCCCTCATTTTTGCTGTTTAACTGTTCTTGGTGTTTACTTATTTTAAACTGGTCACTTTAGCACACAAATAATGTTGACACAAAATTTTTTAGAGCTCTGTCAATTAAGCTTCAATCTAGAGTAAACAGTAAACCATATGTGCAAAAAAACCTTCTACTTCTCAAGGCAAGATTTTGAACACTAGCTTGAAGAGCGGAAGCTGACACTGCAGAAAATTACAGGCAGGGTAAATCTGCAGCTACGTTCACCAGTAGCTGATAAGAATATTAAGAAGTACCAGGGATTAACAAAAGAGCTGTGATACCCTTCCAAAAATCATTTTATTACTGTGCTTCTTGACATATTCCCTCTTCTTCTAGCTTAATTCCAAAACATTAAAGCTACATTGCTATGAAACAGCTGCTCCTTCTACATTTCTAGTTTGTAGAACTAGCCCCAGCTTCAGGTAATTCTGAACTAACAGCTTGAGACTATGCATTGCCTTTCAAATGTTAAGGCAACACCTTGCTATCTAACTATAGGCTTCACCTCCAAACCTAGTAGTTGGTCAGTCCTCTTGCAAGGAGGACAGACTGCAAAAGAAAATTGCAGGCCGTTTTTGTTTTTTTTTTTAAGAGGAAACTGCCTTCAGACTCCATGACAAGCTCAACTGTACTGAGCCTGGAAGCAGCCTGAAGCCATAGGTAGGTTTTCAGCAGGGAGTGCTGAATCAGAGCTACTACTGCACTATCAGGGCAACATGTTTAAAAAAAAATTCCTGTGAGCTGAAACTTGGCATACAAGGTCAATGCCGGGACGTACTCTCCCTTGCTGCCTCCCTCTTTGAAAGCTTTCTACAACCAGGTAAAGTAGTACAAACTCTAAAGATCTGAGCATTGCTATTTGATGTACTAGGTTTCTGTAATTCAAGAACAGATCTTTAAAAAAAATAAACGCACCACATACACAAAGAACACCAGATTCAATCAGGGTTTAACCCACCTTGGAACCTTGTGGTGAAAAGTCTGCTGTAGAGATGGTGTAAAGGGACTGCAACTTCAATCATTTCTCTCTATCCCTCTCGTTTCAATGTGAGGTATTATATACAAAAACAGCCCAAAAAAGCAAATATTGCTGGCTGGAAGAGGATTTTCAGAAGGAGTTAAAGCTACTTTTATGGCCCACAAACCCAACCCTTAATGGAAAACCTAGAGGGAGGACAGCACAGGAAGACTAATTGCTCTACTGAAGGGTAAGTCCCTTTTTGACATTTTAAAGACTAAGATTTATTTACAGTGCCACCGGACTCCTCGTTGTTTTTGTGGATACAGACTAACACGGCTACCCCTCTGATTTTTGGCATTAGAAGGTATACATTTATTCCTGAGACAACTTTCTTAACCTGCCCTTTGGTTTGACCTGGCATTAGTCCATTTTGTAGACCAAATTCTCTGTTTGGTTCTCCCCCCCAGGGTTGTGAGGAATCTGATTTTCAGACAGAATGCCCGGTTTAAAGGGGACCCTGGCAGCTCCAGACGGCACCACTGACCGGGCCGTTAAAGTCTGGTTGGCGGCACAGCAGGGGCCCAGGGCTAGGGCAGGCTCTCTACCAGCCCTGGCTCCGCACTGCTCCCAGAAGCGGCCACCAGGTCCCTGTAGCTCCTATGTGCGGGGGCGGCCAGAGACTGGGAGGCTCCGCATGCTGCCCTCCACCCCGAGCGCTAGCTCCGCAGCTCCCATTGGCTGGGAACCACTGCGGGAGGTGGCACCTGCGGGCACGAAGGCGACACGCACCACGCAAAGCCATCTGGCCGCTCATGCACCTAGAGGCTTTCAAATCATGTTACATTTCTTCAAGTGTAATTCTGCTTTGAGAATTACTGAAGTAATAAAAGTAGCATTGTTCATCTCCATTTGTATCACCTCTTCATGACTCCGAGATTAAAACTCTTAAGTATACAAGTAGAAAAATGTTTTTTTCAGCTAGTAGTTCTGTAAACCCAACCTGGAATCTGAAAGTCTTTCTAGTTCATGCATCACTAACAATAAAGAGATTCTACAGCTAGAACTTGGTTAAACAATTCTACTGAGGATGTTTAAGCCAAAGTAGTCCTGTCTCCAAGACCTGAATTATTGGCTCTGCAAGGCTTACAAGAGTAAAAAGGGGAAAAAAAAGTTTATTCCAGTCAGTAAAGTAATCAGGGATGACTCAATACACATCTGGAGCAGGTCAGCTCAGAGAGGTAGTGTCATTCCACTGCCACCTTTCAAAACAGCACTACACTTCTAAATGCCCAAACAGATTCCAAATCTAAGTATGTGATTCCCATTTTCCAGCTACTTTTCTGATTTACTTATTCTCTTAATGTAACCTGGTTTTATACAGAAACAAGTGGCTTTATTTGACCAAATATGAGACACAGTAGTGTTCACAATGTACTAAGGACTTCCCAAATACAAAAGACTATCCAATACCTGGGCCAAAGATCTTACAAACTGAAGTCAGACAGATAAAGAGTAGGAGAAAAGGTATAACAATGAGTGGTCAACATGTTAAAATGGCCACTAAAACAGAATGATTTTGTGCACTGGACACATAGGTTCTCTCCAATCCCAGAATGTAGCCATAATCAACCAGTTAGTCTCTTGCATGTCTGACAGCCGCCAACTTGGTCGACACCCCAGGGATCGAACTGGTGAGCCTCCAGAGCTAAAAGCATGAGCTGCTACAGCTTGAGCTAAAGAACAAAGCCTCTGTAAAAGTGGGTCATAACAACTCATATCACTCTGTTGATTGGCACAAAGGGGAAATCTCTAACATACAATCACCAGTGGGTTACACATGCATCATGAAAGTGGTGCTTTATAAGAAATGTAAATACAGTGTGGTTAGTGAGCTTGAGTAGAGCTAGTCAAAAACTTGCAAATGGCTTTTGAAAATGCTTAATTACATTAAAACTAAATGTTTTTGATAAAATATTGATTGTCACAAATTTTATAGAACATTATTGCAATGTTTCATTTTGATAAGGCTGAAACATTTCATTTTTACTTTGTTTCAACTGTTTTAATATAAAAGTTGAAGCAATAAGATAGAAACAAAACATTTCAACCTTATCAAAATAAGGCATCATGATGAGGTCAAAGGGTAAATATTTTTGGAAGATTTTTCAAAAAAAAGATCTGAGATTGTTTTAGTTCTGAATTGGGACAAAAAAAATATCAAACTTCAAGATCTTGGATTTTTTTCTGTGATGGAAATTCCATTTTTTCCCCACTAGCAGTAGTCTTGAGGCCTGAGAAGGTGAATGGCTAGCATGATAATTTGCAAGTGGGCTTGCACATGCCCAGCATAGATGAGATTTTTTTTCACAAAATCTCCATACACTGGAAAAAGTCTCTGCAAAATCACTGCAAAAAGTTTGTTTTTAAATGCAAATTTTACATTTTCCCAACATTATCCGGTCCGCACCTATTATACTATGCTTATCTCATACTGCATCTGCACATCAACTGGACTATATTTAAGAATACACACACTATTTTAAGCAAGACTACTAATTCCTGTGAATTACAGTGTTTCTATGACCATTTGAGGGAGTGGTGGGATACACAGAGGGAACACAGGGTGATGTTAAATAGTACATCATACATGCTCTCATACCAAGGTAAAGCAGGCTAAGATATGGAACGTTTTCAATTCCTTGAATTTCTCTTTTGAAGGATTTAGTTGACTGGAGATAGCATTTTATGGATGAACTACTCTGCAAATTGTGCAAACCAAAATTTTAAAACTTCAGAAGAAAAGTAGGCAATGTAGGAGCATATGGGAAGAGGTAAAGAATTAAGTCTTTTCTTCCCCTGGCAGTACTGATTGCTCATTCTTGACATTCTGAGCACTGCCTTTTTAATTATGTAAGCTTTCTGAGACTTCTTGTGGGAATTATTCATAATGGATGCACATTTCTTCCGAGGTTAAAAATCCTCATTTGTTTTAATTTACATTTCACTCATCATTGTAGGAACTTCACAGGAAAAACTAGAGCTATTCCTCTTGAAAGCAAATGTCCAGATGTAATTGAAGCCAATTTTCCCCCACTCAGTTTGTCCTAAAGAAGGTATAATATGCTGGTTTAAGTATCAGATATTGTCAGGTTAAAGGGTTGCAGCAGGTACACCTGATAAACAGTATATGCCCAACCTCTGACTGTCTGAATTATACCTTTCACTTGCATTAGCAAACACCTGCATTTTAAACTAGTTATTTACTGTGTAAATTCCTTCTTAAGTTTTATTATGCTTGCAAAGACTAATGTATTGTAGCCAGTACATGAATGCTTGCAGACCTTACCTAAGTACTAAAAAGGAAGCCTATTAAATTTCCAGAAAAAGACAGCTCATGTGAGACACAAAGTTGTGCAGACTTGTCTACTGGATAAGAAGAAAGGTGTCCTACTTTGTTCATCATACTTGTAGTGATTCTGTTAAATGTTTTCCTCAAGCAATACAGTCTTTATTGGCATTATAGGTTTCTGTTAAGTATTTGTTTCTGTACTGCTCTTAGGCCTTAGTACTCAGCTGGTGTCCAAGCAGGGTCTATGTGGTGACTACCAGAAAATAGGAAGGAGACACCCAGACTCGGGAAACGTGAGAGATAACAAATGAAAATACTGTGTAGATTAGTAGCTATGATTTCATAGATTATAAAGACAGATGACCTCCTGCATAACACAGGCCATAGAACTTCCCTGATTTAATTTGTGTTTGAAGTAGAGCAGATCTTTTAGAAAAACATCCAATCTTGATTTTAAAATTGCCAGTGATGGAGAACCCACCACAACCCTTAGTAAGTTGTTCCAAACGTTAATCACCCTCACTATTAAAAAAGTGCACTTCTTTCTAGTCTGAATTTGTCATGCTTCAGCTTCCAGCCATCGACTGGACCTTGTTATAGAACTTTGCCTGCTAGATTGAAGTAAGTCTCTACTATCAAATTTCTGCTCTCCATGTGGGTACTTACAGATTGTGATCAAGGGCACCCCTTCACCTTCTCTTTGTTAAGCTACATAGATTGAGCTCCTTGAGTCTCTCATTATACGGAGAGTTTACTCATCTGTAACTGGAGGTTCTTTGAGATGAGTGGTCCCTATCTGTATTCCACTGTAAGTTACGCATGCCTGGGTCCAATTGGGGCCTCATGGCCCTCTCCATAAAGTATTTGTGAAGATGAAGTTCCCATCTTTTCAGGTATGGCTGGAGAACGATTAGCAGATACTGCACCTCGCTGTGATGCGAGTTTCCGCAAGACAGTACAGACATCACTGCTGGTCGGCGCTGACAGAGAAGGATTGCGGGCAGGAAGCACAGAGTTTGAAGCTTGGAGTTCTGGGTAAGATGATCAGATGTCCTGCTTTTAAACAGACCCATATTTAAGCCCTCCTGCACGTGTATTATCCCATATTTTCTATTTCTCGCCCCCCGCCCCCCAACAGTACTAGTGGGTCCTGCTGCTGGCCAGATCCCTGCTCACCAGTTGCCTGCCCACCAATGGTGAGTGGGGAGGTCCAGGGGCTCACAACAGGGGTGGGTGTGCAAGGCTGGTGGGGTGGTAAAGCTGCAGCATGAGGGGCCAGCCACCCCCCCCTGCCCATCCACAGCCCTTGCTGCATGCCGGCTCTCAGTCAGAAGTGTTCCACCTCCCCGTCCCATTTCCGGCAGCACTGTCTACGCACTGCAAGCTGCGGTGGCTAGTGAATGCAGGCAGACGCCAGGCGACGGCCAGTTATGTGTCACTTCTGCTGCCCACCCATCAGCCCTTTATGTGCTCCCCCTCTTGCTGTCCTCTCCCTGCTTTGCCCCTTCCCTGTATGTGCTAATGCCCCACGCAGCACTGGCACGGGGAAGCCTCTCCACCCCTCAGCTAAGCCCTGGAGTGGTGGTGGTGGGGAAGTGATTTCCAGCCTGTTCATGGCCCGAACCTGGGGGGCTCCACAGCAGCCCCCAGGCAGGGGCTTAGCACACTCTTCACATGCCTCCCCCCACCCTGGGTTCTGCCCCCAGGGAGCACAGGGCTGCTCCATCCCCTAGGCACCCTGCCCCGCTGAGCAACCTCCCGGGCTGGTTCCTTAAGCCCCTGCAGTCAGGTTCCCTGGGCCTTCATGCACAATGCAGCCTTAGGGCTTAACCCCTTCCTGCCCGCGCTGTAGCCAGGGGACAGGAGATGGCTGGGATATGTCAGTGGCCAGCAGCAGCCTGGAGGCGTTAGCTGCCTTTCGACACTGTGCAAGCAGGAAGGGACAAGCTGCTTCTAGCCACTAGGGAAATGGGGGGGAGAGATGAGCTCTGCAAAGACACGGACCAGCTCATCCCTCTCTCCCCGTTCTCCCCTGCAGCTGGAAGCAGCTCCCATCCCTTCCCTCCCACACAGTGCCAAAAGGCTGCTGCTGGCCACATTCTGGTGTGAACCCTGGCAGCAATATGGGGAGCGGAGGCATGTGACCCTGCATGCCCCCCATGTGTTGCCTTGGGAAGACACAGCACCAGGTACCAGGAGCGGGGGGTCCATCCCAGGCATGGCGGGCGGAGAGCACCAGAAAGGAAGGGTCGGTCGGTTAGCCCCCCATGTAAGAGATGTGTATGGGTGTGTTACCTCTCCCCATGTGAACCCTAAAGCCTTAAAGATAAGAAGGTTAAAAAAAAGAATCCAACTACTCAGAATTTCTTTTTATCAGGGGCTCAGTCAACTTGACGTTAATTTGAACATTTGCACTGCATAGTTCTGACTGATTGCCATTGAACTTTCTTGAATACGAGTAATTTACCAGGTGTCCCGCATTGAGCATAGGGAAATATGGTCACCCTAGTTCTGAGCACAGTCCAGTACCTGAAGGGGGTACAGGGGAGGGAAGGTTCCCACAGCAGACAAAGTTAACAGTAATCTGTAAAAACTACTAAAAACTATTAAAATTATTAAAACTATTTACCAACTAGGTGATTATTTTTTGTAGAACACAGCCAAAGCTGCAGACACTAAAGGTTCTGACCTGGACCATGTGGTGGCGAGATGGTACTGGACAGGCAGTACTGCCCCGCCCATTATCCCCTCAGGTGGAGACATGAGGTGAGTCAGAGTGCATGTGCAGACCAACAGACACTGCTTTCAAATTCTACAGCTCCGGATGCATGGCGTGCATGCGTAACCCACAGTGGAATACAATAGGGACCATCGCTTGAAGAAAAGGCATGCTTTCCAATTTTTAATCATTCTCAGGGCTCTTCTCTGAACCCTCTCCAGTTTTTTCAACATTTTTCTTGTATTATGGACACTAGAACTGGATATGGTATTCCAGCTGCACCAGTGCCAAATATAGTGATAAATAACCTCTTTACTCCCACTTGATATTCCCCTGTTTATATATCCAAGGATTGTAATAGCCCTTTTGGCCAGAGCGTTGCACTGGAGCACATGTGCAGCTGATTATTCACCATGACTCCCAAGTCATTTTCAGCATCACTGCTTCCCAGAATAACATCCCCTCAGCCTGTTAGTATGTCCTACTCTCTTTGTTTCTAGAAGCATAACTTTGCATTTGGACATCTTCAAATGCTATTTAGCACATCAGTCACATCATGCCAGCTCAGAAAAACTGCTAGACTAATGAAAGAAGAGACAAATCATTAGAAAATGTATTTTCTACCATTGTCATGCAGGTGGTTGTTCTTGTAGAAGTCTACATGGTGTTTGCTTTTTCTACTCAATGGCTCCAATCTCAAACTGTTTAGACAGAGAGAACTTGCCTAGAATGGAAGGTATAGCCAGAGAAATGGTGACCCTGACAGGGAATGAGAAGGTGGGTTATCCTCCCCGGGTCACTCCTCAGTTCATTAAATAGGTGCATGATGGTTTGTGGAATGCGCCTGTACTGCTGGGGTACATGTGCCTCATAGATCAAATCATGCCCTCCTGGGCTCATAGACCTTATTATGTACAGGACATATACCAAGACTGTCTTTTAAATGGTAAAGTTTCCAGGACATACTAAAATTAAAACAGCTATTGGAAAAGTAACTAGCTGGGTACATTCTTGTGTTTAAAAAACAAACAATACATAACATTAAAGTTACCGCTATAGAGCAGTCCTAGCAAATTCTATTTAAATCTGGAAATTGTAATAATTTGGCCAACTCTTGAGGTATCTTCCTAGTAAATACTGCAAATTGTATAAAATGGTGTACATTTCTGTTACTTGATACCAAAAGAATTCTCAGCTAGAGTTTGATTTCATGGTAAGAAATCTGATGTCTGCCTATGTGCAATTGTGCCCATCACAACTTCAGAGTAACTAATCCTTCACTGAAGTGTTGCCCAACATACATAGCCAGTATTGGTGAATAAAAGTAGCAAACAAGGAGCTTGGAGGGAGTATTTCCAGATCAGGTTCTTGGAGGAAGAGGTGGTTGGTGAGTAGTGTGTTTCGTCTATTGTTTGTTCTCAGTAAGGGCTGTGTGGCTGAGCTTTGGGCCCCTGAACAGGCCAGGCGCAACTGGTCTGCATGTTTGTCTTTCTTGTGAGGACCATGTGTCTGGGACCTTTGGGTCTGTTATCATCCTCTGTGTTTGAAGTATTTGAGTGGCTGCTATCAGGGGGTGGAGCTCAGCAGCGAGACTTAGTATATAAGTTGTAAGTCAGTTTCCAGGCAAACTCTTGAGCTTGCAGACAAGGTGCAGTGAACAGGGAGTTTAGAGATTAAGCATACAAGGGTCTCGTTCTATGTACAATTCTATGCTCATTGCTGTGATGGTCTGCAATGGGCCATGTTGTCTTTCCTGCCTGAAGCAAGCACAGACTTTCTGTGTATGAAGTGCAAGTTGGTGGCTGTTCAGGAAGAAAAGCTTCTTGTTTAGAAGGACAAATACTGACACCATAGGCGCCAATTCCGTGGGTGCTCCGGGGATGAAAGACCCATGGGGAAAAATTAGTGGGTGCTCTGCACCCACTGGCAGCCAAGCTCCCCTCATCCCCCGCCCCACCTCCTCCTCCCCTGAGTGTGCCGCATTCCCTGCTCCTCCACCTACCTCCTAGCGCTTCCCACCTGGCCGCCGCCAAACAGCTGTTTGGCAGCGTTAGCATGCCCCAGGAGGGAGGGGGAATAGCAGGAATGTGGCACGCTCAGGAGAGGAGGTGGAGAGGAGATAGGGAAGAGGTAGGGCCGGGGTGGGGATTTGGGGAAGGAGCTGGAATGAGGGCGGGGGAGGAGTGGGAAGGGGTGGGGCCTCATGGAAGGAGTGGAGTGGGGACAGGGCTGGGGGGGGGGGGTCGAGCACCCATGGGAAAGAGGGGAAGTCGGTGCCTATGACTGACACTACAAAGCAGAGATGCTGAGGAGTAGCTGAACTACCAGATCAGCAAGCATCAGCTCCACAGACTCAAGAAAGAAAGGAATCGGGCACCAAGGAACCAGACAGAGAGGAAGCCAAAAAGTAGACTTGCAGCCTATCATCAGAATCAAGAGGACCACGAAGCATTCTACATGGCTGGAGGCAGACGAGAATGGACAGGTTGTGACTACCAGAGAAAAGAGCACCAGGAGGAATTGCACACAGCTAGAACTATCCTGTCATTACCAGATTCTCAGTATGGAAATTGAAGACTCTCTCTGAAGACAGCTGGTTAAATGGAATAGAGAGCTGTACAGGACATATCTGAGAATGGCTGCTCAGCCCCACGCACAAGACAATCAAATGTGCCCACAAAGAGATCCCCAACCATCCAAGACAGACAGACTGGAAAGAATACTCTGAAAGGGACAAGTGGACAACAGGATGGTGTGCGTTCTTTCCAAAAGTCAAAATAGGAGATGTGACTGCATGATTGCCCACCTGCTTCAGAGGCCTATCCAAAGAATTCCTGACAATGGTGCATATTAGCACTAGCAACACTGCTTCACATGATACCTCCAGGGGCGACAAGGGGGGGGGGGGGAAGCTGGTACAAATTACCGGGGCCCGGCAGTCCGGAAGGGGGCCCAGGGCCCAGCTTCGTCAGCCTGTTTAGCCAGTCCACCCTTGCTGGGGGGTGGGGGGATTTTTTCATTGGGGCCCGAACCTGCTCTCGGCAGCCCTGGATACCTCACAGATTATAGATGACTTCAGGAAATTAAGAAGGCTACTGAAAGAGAGGAATGTCCAAGTGATCTGCTACAAGAGCCTTCCTGTCCCTGTGAACAAAGAGAGAAGGCTGAAGATTCTCGAAGTGAACTGCTTGCTAGGTAAGTGGTGTAAGATTTTGTTTGGTGCAACATTAGTTCATCTTCTATGGGGAGATGGAGGCCATCCAAACTGTACAGCCCTATCTCAGAAGAAGTGGAAACAGTCTCCTAAGGGACAGGCTAGCTAGATTAGTCAGAAGGAAGTTAAATTAATAACAAAAGGAGAGGGTGAAAACTATCAAGAACAAAATTAATCAAGGCATCAAGAGACATGAATAGAAGAAATTATTTAATAGCCTACAAACTAAATTCTAGGATCCTGAGTAATAAACCAGAAGAATTGCTCCTTTATGAGCATAAATTCAATCTAGTTGGTATAACTAAAACCTGATGGGATGAGTCACATGGTTGAAATGTTAATCACTGGTTATAACATTTAGGAAGATTCAAGTGGGCAAAATGGGAAAGGGGAGTGGCACTCTTTCAAAAAGGGCATTACCCATTTCTAAGTCACTGACAACTTGGAAGCAAATAATCTTAAATGAGGATGAATCAGTGTTCTACCAGATAAAGTGCAATTTGGGGAACTAGTTGATGTCTGCTACAGACCACCAAATCATACTAGAGGACAGGATAACCAATTCCTTAAGCATGTATCTATTATGGGTAGGGGAGGTGTGTAAAGCTGCATTATAATGGGGGACTTCAATCTGAATGACATATGCTGGATGTCTCATGCAACTAGGACTAAAACATCCTTGACATTTTTTAAGATTATAAATGAGAATGTCTTAACTCAACGTATTCAGTCCAAAATGGGGGAATTCTGTATTAGAACTGATCTTGACAGATAAATAGGAATTAATCCCAGAACAAAAAAATAAATAGTTACTTAGGTGCAAATGATGATGACTAGATTATATTTAGTAAGTATAAACAAAATAAAGTCCAAACCAATAATATATATACATAGTGCTTTAAAAAGGTCAATTTCACAAAGCTGAAAATAATTATGAGATCAATCAGTTGGAAAGAATTTACACAGAAAACTCTGAATGATATTTGAGAGTGGCTTAAGAACATGATGTCCAAAAAATCCACAATAAAAAAAGAAGGCTATGCTGATTCAAAGTCAGTTGGCTTATCTGGGAGGTACAGCAACTATAAAAATAAAAAAATATGTAACAAATGGGAAAAAGGGAAAGTTGACAGCAACAAATATAAATTAGAAGATAGGAACTGTAGAAAATTGATAAGGGAAGCAAAAGGACACAAGGAGAACTCTATTGTCCTTAATTCTGCTGCCCATAATGACGGGTTATATAAGGTGAGCTGTCCCATAGCAATGGGGAATGAAACTTGCCTGCACCATGGTGTTGGCTGGCGGGAGGACTATTGGTGCCAAGCGTATGGAGACCGATGCCTCATCACGAGGGACCCGCGCCGTGCCAGTGGAGACAGACTGCAGTGCTGGCAACCTAGGCCATCTGACCAGGGACTTAGGATGTAGAGTCGGGGACCTTGGTTGGCAGTGTACAACTGCCCTCTGAGGTGGCCCCAGTGTTGGCGTGCCCTTAGAGAAAGGAGACTTTGCTGCTTCCAACACTGTACGTGGCACTAGAGGGGCTCTCTGGTCCTTAACCACCTCAGACGTGGGAGGCAATGTCAGAAGCCCGGATCCCTATCACTCCCGGGAGTCAGGAGTGGATCCTTGGAGTGCTGGGAGGGGGGGGGGGGAGAGATCCGAGCAGGGAGGGATGCATCCCCATGAGGCTCCAGAGTGGACAGGTGGCCTGAACTGCGTCCTTTGCCCAACACCTGCTAACCTTCATTGCTCGGTGCCGGGGAGCTTCACTTCTTCAGGCGCTTCTTGGGCTGATGCCAAGGTGCTAGGCGTGGAGTCGGAGTGGGAAGACTCCGACGCTGGGCAAAGCGCGGCCTCCTGGAGGCCGAATGTCCTGCTCCTTCTGAATTCTGGGTCAAAAGTTCTTACAAATCCGACACTTGTCTTTTACATGCGACCCTCCCAAGCACTTTAAGCAGCTGCTGTTGGGGTTCGCTAACAGGCATAGGCAGAACAAGGTTTGAAACCCAGAGACCGGGGCATGCCCTGCCTCGAGGCCAAGTCCCTAAGGAGACTAACTTACCAGCTAACTCTTTCCACTTAACACCTAATGAATAACTAACTACTGTAAACAACTATAGACAAAAGAAAAAATGTAGCACTAGGAAATACACTATCGACTTGCAAGGCAAGAGGAAGGCACGCCGACCAACCATTATGGGCAGTAAGAAGGAACAGAGGGCGTAGGGCCGGCAGTGCCTAGTATACCTACGCATGAGCATGGCACTTCAGAGGGTGGCATAGCCAGCCCTACAGATATTGCTAAGGCAAAAATCTCCGACAACGGTGCACGTGGGCACACACACACCTAGAATGGAATCGACATGAGCAAGCACTCCGAGAAGAAACTAGAAAGATACAAAATCAAAATGGCACACACTAAATTGATTAAAATCTAGCTAAGTGATCGGGCTCAACATGCAATAGTAAATGAGGAATCACCACACAGCAGGTATATTTCTAGTGGGGTCCCACAGGAAACAGTTCTCGGTCCTAGTCTATTTAACAGAATTTCAATGATCTGGAAGAAAAAATAATCACTAATAAAGTTTACAGATGACAACGATTGTGGGAATGGTAAATAATGAAGAGTACTAGTCACTGATAAAGAACAACCTGGATCACGTAGTAAGCTGGGTGCAAGCAAACTGTGTGTGTTCCAATATGCCCAAATATAAAGCTATACATCTAGGAACAAGAATGTAGGCCATACTTACAAGGTGGAGGTCTTTATAATTGGAATCAATGACTGAAAAAGATCTGGGAATGATAGTGGATAATCAGCTGAATGACTTCCCAGTGTGATGCTGCGGGCAAGAGAATATGATCCTTGGATATATAAACAGGAGAATATCGAATGAAGTAAATAGGTTATTTTAGCTCTATATTTAGCACTGGAGCAATTGATATTGGATTACTAATGAAAGTTCTGGTGTCCACAATTAAAGAACAATGATGATAAATTGGAGAGTGTTCAGAGAAGAGCCACGAGAATGAGATATCAACTAAAACTATCACTGCCTGTTACAAATAGGGCAGCACTCAATGCAATTGCCCCACACTCGTACCCATCGTGACTGGATCCAAAATTTTATTTCATAAAACTGAAAATTTTAATTCCCTACGTCTCACCCCTCCCCACCCCCATCACTCCTAGTGGGCCACATTCATCATGGCTGGGACTAGGGAGCGGGGGTGTGCAGAATCACTCCAAAGCTATGTGCCAATAGCAGGTCTTATTAAAAGTGTTTATGGGAATAAGGGAATGGAGTTTTGAAACTTATCTTTCCATTTCTGTTGGCTGTAAATCCAATGATACATCTGTGTTTTATCCCTAGCTGCTGCTGTGGAATACTGGACCCTGATGAGAAGAAAGAAGAGGACTAGGGAGGCCAGGTTCAGCAATATCCTGCAAGCCAGGGCTACACTGAACTGTGAACAAAGGGCCTGATGGGCCAATATGGCAGAAAGCATGGAGAAGAAAAGAGCGGACAGGAAAAGGAGAGGGAGAGCCTCAGGAAATAACAGGGTTTCTCAGGCAGCAAACCCAAATACTGCAGACCCTCATTAACCTACAAGTCCAACAATCATGGACTCACCACTCTTTGCAGTCACTGGAGAGCTCTGGCATAGCAGCTCCCTACACTCCCGAATATTCCATGTGGCACCACATCCTACCACTACATGCCTGGAGACGGCAAGGACAACCACAGTGTCACGTACACTGAGCTGCGAAAGCCACAGTTGGTGGATCTGTCGCCAAAATCGATGACATTTGTGCACTGAAGTGGACAGAAATGTTGGTTGCTTTTTCAATTTCGAAGTTCCAGTCCGTTAATTTATGTTAGAAGTCTGTATTGTATCATTTATTTGCACATGGATGGGGTTTTTCCACACTGTTTTTGCTATACAATAAACTTCTTTATTTGAAAATAAACTCATCTTTATTAGCTCACAGTATATACTGCGGAGTCCATAACAGTACTCAAAGTATCCACTACTTATAATTGTATAGGACCACTGAGCTCATAGGTTCAGTGAAACACACAACTTGATACTTATAAATATACAAACACTATAAAATTCCTGACAGCCCCCAAAACTTTAGTTCCAGAGCACTATCCAGCACAACACATTACTGTGGCTGCTTTCAAGGCCTCCCTTAACAGCGTAGCTCCATACTGAGCTCGTGTCTGGCTGTTCAGACAGCCACTCCACCTTCACCCTCCACCCTGGCAGCAAGCTTGTCTCCCTTTGCCACACAGATATTATGCAGGATACCAGAAGGAGCTATAACCATTGGGATGTTCATCTCACTGAGATCCAATTTCATGAGTAACATCACCAGCATCTCTTCAATCTACCAAAGCACATTTAGCCATCATTCTGCATCGGCTGAGCTGGAAGTTTAATCTTTCTTTGGTGCTGCTGCCAAGGTAGCCGGTGTATGAGTTCATGATTCAGTGGAGCAAGAACTAGGCTGAGTCCCCCAGGATCACTACGGACATTTCAGCATTGCCAGTGATAATTCACCAGTCAGGAAAAAAGTGTCCCTGCTTGCAGCTTTCTGAACACTCCTGTGTTCTTAAAGATGTGAGTGTGTCATGCACCTTCCCTGACCAGCCCACACTGACATCAGGGAAGCATCCCTAAGTATCCACCAATGGTTGCACAACCATAAAAAAGTAGCTCTTTCTATGGCAAGGTGTGCTGGTGCCAAAATAGGGATGTGTGCGCTATCTATTGCCCCACCACAGTTCAGGAACCCCATTGCCGCAAATCTATCCACTATATCCTGCACATTGCAGACAGTAACAGTCCTGCACAACAGGATTAGTGACCCTACATGCTTGCTAGATGGACACTGGTTCCCACTGTGGCTTTTCCAACTCCAAAATGATTTCCCACTGACCAGTAGCAATCCATCACTGCAAACTTCCAGAGTGCAATTGCCACTTGCTTCTCCACTGTCAGTGCAGCTCTCATTCTGGTGTCCCAGATCTGGAAGGCTTGGATGAACTCAGCACCCAGATCCAGTTAAAATTCTGCATCCACTTATCCTAAACCTGCATTATCATGCAATCCCACCAGTCAGTGTTCGTTCCTTAGGTCCAGAAGCGGTGCTCGGCCATCTGCAGTTGCTCCATGAATGCCATCCAACAACCTTGAATTGTTTTTCCACTACGTCCCTCAACAATCGGTCCTCCAAAAGCTTGTCGTATCTCCCCCACCCTTTGTGGTTCTTCCTGCAGCTTTGCAAATACCGGAGGAACATGCATCCTGTATTTGCAACATTCATGACAACAATGGAGAGCTTTGTGGGTTCTAGGCTTCTCTCAGACATTGGGGACAGTGAAAAGTGCTGTGCATGTTTGAGGAATTTGCAATAAAGTGCAAAAGTTATGGGATATGTAAAGTTGCATGATGGGAACTTGATCCTTTGCTCCCAGTCATCCCTGAGCAACTCATTTCTACCTCACAACACACTGTGAAGATTTCCCAAAAGGCACTGTGCTGGATGGTGGCACCCTGGGATCTCTGGCAATGGTGCACTGCACTTTTTTAAACCAACACAAGCACTCCTGGTGAGTGCACACAGCTCCAAAGCAAGCAGCCAGGTATGCGCACACATGAGCGATATACTAATTGTCGCAGCTATACACCAACATAATTTGCATCGACCAAACTTTGTAATGTAGACATGACCTAATGACCATTGACCCTTAAGGAATCTCAAAAACCTTACAAGTTACAGATATTGGAAAGGAGCAGTTTTTACCTTCTTACATATTTTGTCACTGGATTAATTATTTTCAGCAAATGTTTTCTCACAGCTTTAAGCACATCAGTGTGCTGACACGAGCTGTTGCCTTGGAAACTAGACTGATCAAAATGCAATAAGAACAGAAGAAGCCTTAGTCAACAGCTTCACAAATGTTCCCATGATTAAACAAACATGCCAGGTGTCAGACTTTAAATTATTACTATAAAGTCTGCTAAATAATTCTGTATGATTAGATGTTCTGTCCACATATATACAAGTGGAATCAATTATGAGGGTTCTTTGAACAGATGGATTCTGATGTTGGTGCATCTGTGCTTTTTTCACAGATTCAGAACTGAGATACACAACACATTCCTGGTCATAGACAGCCATTCAATTCCTTAGTATTTCAGGATTGGGGGGGGGGGGGGAAGAGAAACAGTGATGGAAGATGGATTGCCTTTTCCCTTTCCCATTTATACAAGATTAGTAGGACATCAGCAGATTCACAAGCAGATAATTTGCACTAGCAAAGTCAACATTCTGGTTGAGATTTTCTATGGATAGGCATCAGAAACCACCATAACAAAGCCCCCTTTTTCATATAGAATTTATTTCTACATTCCTGATAATACTGCATGTGGAGCATCTGCACAGCCTGGCTTTAATCTAAGCATCATATCATATGTGGTCACTCAAAATGGGTCTGTGCTAAAATGATAAATTACAGTTGCTGGGGAAACATTTATTTCCTGATTTGTGTATGGGAGGGGGGAATCAATTATTGTGTATTTACATTGTTTTCTCCCCACCATTTTCCATTTAACTTCCATTATATTTTTTGGGGGTGGGGGGAATTAAAAAAAAAATCAACTACACTCAAGTGATATACAACCTCTGGAAGACTGCACAATAAGCACATAATACTGGTAAATATGAAATGTTTCAAACAGCTATGCATTTTAACATGTAGAGTTCTAGACATGTGCATGTGTAACCCACACACCTCCTGGGTGTGGTGTTCTGTCCCATTTACTGGCACCAAGATCACTTACAGAGAGAGATTCATGATCTGTTCTACAGCCTTAACTAACAGGCATATGGCTTGAGGCTCATGCATTTAGCACCAGAAGTCCCAGGTTTGATCCTGCCCGACGATGATCGAGATCTGTCAGTGTTACACATGCTTATGCACTTGTACACACATATAACAACACAATGAAGGCCAATCCTGGACTCCTTGTGAGGCAAAATCCTTGAGATGCCAATTATTTTTACTTATTTTCTATATCATACCAAATACATGCATTACGAATTTGTCCAAGTAAGCAATGCAGGGCCCCACTAGAAGATATTAAGAGGAGAATTTCCAAGTGAACTCAGTGTTTTCCTAACTCCGCTCCCATTGAAGTCAATAGGAGTGATTTCATTGATTTCAATGGCAGCTTTCAAAGTCTTGCCCCCCCAAAATAGTAGAAAACCAAGTATTCTACACACACGTTGGAATATTCATACCTTATGAACAAAATATTACACCACAGAGAAAGATACTGTCCAAAAAAAAAGGGGGGGGAGGAGGGGATTTTCCAAGACACAAAGGGAAGCTATCTACCCAACTCCATTGTCCTTTAATGGGGGTTAAATGCAGGGGATAACAGCCACCTCCTTTCCCACCATCCTGTTATGGTTACAGGAGAGCGGTGTCTTATTCCCTCTACAGTCCCTCACAAGTGCACCCATCCAAGGGAGAAAGGGTTAAACCCACAAAAGGCCTGCACCCCTCTCAATGCTTAGACAAGCCCAACTGTCTCAGGCATATCCCGCAGAGCCCCTACTTTAGTTCTGCAGCACTGCTGCATGCTCTGCCTATCTCAGAATTCCTCACCAAGAAGCTGTTGCCTGTTCCTGTATCTTTTCCTCTACGCCGGGGGTTTTATGACGTGGTGCTCTCTTGATTTGAGTCCAGGACCACCCGGGGGGGGGCAAGTGGAGCAATTTGCCCCAGGCCCCGAAGGGGCCCCCACGAGAATATAGTATTCTAAAGTATTGCAACTTTTTTTTATGGAAGGGGTCCCCAAAATTGCTTTGCCCCAGGCCCCCTGAATCCTCTGGGCAGCCCTGTCTGAATCTCTGACCTTGGGAAAGGCATGTCTGTTCCCTAGGGTTACCATTCGTCCGGATTTACCCGGACATGTCCTCCTTTTGTGTGCTAAAAATAGCGTCCGGGGGAAATTTGTAAGGCA